GGTGTTTCTTTAGACATCACTAATCAGAAATGCAGACTTGTAGATTCACATTAACTGGGGGAAAGGAGTGTGTGGCACCAGCTATTTGTCAATCCACGGCAGAGTTCGTGCATCCGGTTGTGCAAGCTCTTTGCAAATTGTTGGAAGATGCTCGATAGCGACACTAAGTTGAAGAAACATCTAAGAATTTCATAAAATGTGTGAAATGGTTGCTACAAAGGCTTCATCCAATTAAATGCAATGAACTAGAAGTCCCTGTAACACCATGAGCTGCAGCATAAGTTCCCAATATGACACTTTTATGGGATAAACAGCATGTTAAAAATTACTGTGTAAGTGCAGCTTTGTTGTATATCTGTCTGCATATGTGGAAAAATGTGTGTTTCGAGCCAGTAATGCGCTTAAGATTTAAAATGAGGAAATAGGAAATACCAAATTAAGTCTATAATGCAGGCTACTGTTTGAATTTTAGTGAGGCAGAGTTTAAAATCTTCCCAGTTTACACCTTTGATATACGCCCTTTCATCAAGCATGAGATCACATGTTAGAATATTTAATATTGCGTCTTATTTTGAGATAGATTAGCATTAGCGAGCAAGTTTTGTCTGTTAAGCTGGATTTTTCAGTTAGTTACGCAACACTCACACCTGACTGTTGCTGATTGTGAGCTTTGTCACTAATCTCCGGCTGAAAACCAACCCGTGTGGTGCGGCCCTTTTTTTTTAATTTCGAGCTCTTCTCTTAAACAAAGTCATCAGTTTTATCAGGAGCTGCCTAATTAATTGTTTAGTCATTGTGATTTGGGCAGTTCCTGGAATAAGACACGAATCACTTTGTAGCTTCATGATAGAAGTCACGCGTTACTCATAGACAGGTATCTTTAGACCGGAACAAGTGCTTTCACAATAACGTGAGAAGGCCGTAGGTAGGACCAAGTAGAAGTGTGTCAACAGTGTACGCCCACACAGCTCGACCGGTGAATCAGCCACTCTGTCCATATGTGCAGGCGTACTCCTCCATTAAAGCCTCTCCTGACAGATGATATCCTCCACATCTCACATCTGCTCCGTCACACATCTGAGAGTCCTCGGGCGTCGTGGAGGTGTCGAGGAGGTCAGGAGGGGGAAGCTCAGGTTGAAGGCCACATGTGGGAGCGTGTGACCGGGGTTATCCGAGGGGCGTGACGTAGACGGCCAACGTGTGCGTGTGCGCAGGTGGCTTCTTGAGACGACAGGCGAGCCACGAGGTCGTATTTATCAATCAACACTTTTCCAGTCAACAGACGTGTGTGTGGAATCCAAAGCCTCGACCCCTCCCACTCGACTCAAATAGCAAATGCTAATGGTGGAGCCACCTGTTTCAGCCGTAGCTCTGCTATTTATAATACCCACAGACTTATAAGTAGTGCTATCATTGGACCAGCCTCGTCATTCAGTGATATATAGTGATATTTTTACTGTATGCCAGGAGCTCTATAACAGGAAATGACTGGCAAAGACTGCTGGGAATGTCCCTGTTTGGTTAAATATAAAACTTATTTCCTCTTTTGTGACGTGAGCTACAGTGAAGTGCTTTCAATGGGATGGAAAGATAATGTTGAAAGGCTTATTTCAGGTATGATACCTCTTAATGGGAAAGTTTTATATTGTAAAATCCATTGAGCTTTTTTCTTCCAGTTTCACATTGACGACAGAGTTCCGTTATTTCAGTTTTATTCTTCTCACCGCCACATGTTAATGAATCAGCCACTTTCTTGTGACAAATTCATGCCCTGTTCCCAGCAGAACATCTTACTGCTTGATTTAACGGTCTCCTCCCCTCCCCAGCTAATTATTTTCACTGCAAGGAGTGGACTGTCAGAGCTGCTGCTGTTCCTGATAGAGATGACGAAGCCTGTGCACGATAACTCAACTAGAAACAACTCTTAATGCCCATTGGTTTCCACTGGGGATATCCCCACACTTCCCTAAATTCTAAGTTTGGTAAAATAAATAAAGATTTCCATTTAAATATGACAATGTGTAATAATATCTATCCTAATTGAAAAACATTAATTGTAAGGCAGAAAGGACAAGAGACAAGAATGGATTTTAAAAACTGTATTTCAGTCTTCGTTGATGATCTATTTGTTTATTGTGACAAACAATGAAATCGCTCATCAGGTAAACTGCATCATTTTGAAATTGAATGCATTAATTATAAAGAAATGATTCAATTCTAATTCATTTGTCAGACTTTGGAGTACACAAAGATCAATTTCATTATCGTACGTTATACAAATCTATAAAGATAAATAGCTTCGATTGAATCTGGGTGAGGAACCAGAAAGAATCGTGCCCCCCCTCTACTAATAAAACTGAACACACGCCTTTGATTGGATGTGCTTTAATCCGCGGTAAACGTTTTCCAAATGAAATGATTCTGCCGAGCTGATGAGGTTGATGTGTTTCTGGGAGGATTTAGGAGGAGATCATAGACGGAGAGAGATGGGAGAGTATCATCCATAGCCAGAGCACACTATCACGTCTGTGTAGAGAGTGAAAGGGATGATTCAGTTTATGCATCATGCAGGAGAGAGCAGTGAAGTGCAGAGTTGCATATAGATTTCTGTGCTGTCAGAGGGACCCTTGTTCTCGTACTCACGCTGAGTCGAAGCCTCTCTACATACCTCAGTCGGATTCATGCGGGCCTCTTTTTCTGGCTGTCACACAAAACCAGAATTAATGTTATCTCCGAGGCTCGCTGGTCAAGTAGCGGCTCACTCTGAATCGCTCCTCACAAAGGACGCTAATGACGCTTATGCTCGCCCACCTTGTCTATTACATCTTACCGTCCACTGACATCACGTAGGCAGCTGGCAGGATTATCGTCCAAAAACTTCTGACAGTGACCGAGCCTGGAAGCTTGAAAGCAGAAGCCTTTCATTACCTGGTCTGCTTTTGTCATCAGGATCATTAAGAGTCCACAGCCCTGCTGCTGGAGGCTGAAACTCTTCGGTGTCCAGACACTTTTGATTATTTTTCCTTTTATGGGGTTTTGCAAATCTGGACTGTGCACTGGTGAAGCCGGAATTTGAATTTTTAACTATGAGAGACGTCTATTAAAACCCTGTAACTGTGAAGAAAAAGACCCAATTTGTCTCCCTCTTCGCTAAGTGTTCCTCAGCAGCGTCCTCGATTGACAGAACAGGAGGCATCTGCATGTGTGTGTCACTTCTGCTGTACAAATAACCATCTTCGTGTCTTGTTCTCGGGTCTTTATCGCGGCCTTCCTGCTCCTCCAAATGTCATCTGCCCGCCTCGGATTTGGAGATGTCTGTGTTTGTAAGAAGCGTCAGACTACTTATTGACTAAGAGTCAAGATCCCGTTGATAGAAACCAGGAATAGCTTCACTTGCTACCTTCTCCTATTGATTGCCATACCTCACATGAAACTCAATCTCCTGTTGGTTGCATTTAGGGAGCTCCCTGTGGCAACTGTAGTGGAGGATTTGCAGTTGTAACTGGGATGTCTATCTTGAGTTTCCCTTCACGTCTCACTACGGTCACTTAATCAGTATCTCTAAATTGCCCCATAACTCCATTACGAGTATAATATTGTGGTTTTGTTCTGAGGTTTTCTCAAGAGTTTTTGTACACGCTGTTGATGAAGGAGTTAACCAGAGTCACCTCTTGAGTGTAAAAACAACAGCTACAAGTTAAATGGCAGTTTTCTATCTTGATTTGAGGACAACTGAACAGCAGGAAGGCAGAGATTTTAAGCACTGTCTCTGGCTTTTGACAATTTTATCTCCATAAAATTCTCGTTGCAACTGAGAGCAGGCCGAGCTAAAGCCTTCTCTGACCTGTGGGAATCAAAATCTTTCACAGTGTGAGTGGTTTTAACGCACATACACCACTTCCTACTACTCAGTAATGAAACTAAAGTTAATCCGAGGAAAACTGCAGGACAGAAGCTCCTGTAATTCTTGTAATATGAGCCGTTATCTGGGCGTCACACCTTTCCATTGTCTTGAAGGTTTAACAAAGATTTCCAAGAAATCTCTGCTTTCTTTTCACTCCAGTGCCGAGCACAAAAGAGCGGGTATGTGCAGTTCAGATATGGAGATTATGGCTTTGGGAGCACAAGGTTGTTTGTTTGCAGCTGACACTGTCAAATTAACCTGACCGGGGCATTGTGCAAAGACAAACACACCCTGCACTGAAGATTATTCATGTAGTATTCTGTTAATGATCACTGCAGTGATTACACTTGCATATTCTTATGAACAGAAACTGAAAGCAGATCCACTTTCAGACTTTGGCTTTACAAAGTTCCAAAGCTCAAAGTCATAAAACGTTGTGTAACTGCAGCATAGTTAGGATAATAAAGACAAACACATCGTAAAGATGTTGTGCTTAAAATTGCACAACATCGCTCTTGCCAGTAAAACATATTTCATCAAGCATTTTTTTTTTATTCTAGAGCTCCTTTTAAGACTGTGTGTGCAGTGTGGCATTAATGATAACCATTACAACCAGTGACATAGTGTTCATCCTGTATAGAAGCTGTCATACAGGTTAGCATAAATTAGAGGTACTTTATAGATGTTTGGCAAAGTGAAAGTAAGACAGTACAAATATAATGTAATACAGTGATTTTGATGCAGTATCCCAGTTTTAGGTTTACATTTTGTAAGGTTTCCTGCCACAACAGCACATCACACATGCCTTTCAGCCCTGCCAGTAGGTTTTGGGGTTCTGCAGGTTAGAAAAGATTTTTGTAAAAGGAACTAAGGCTGCACCTAACAGCAATGTTCATCTGCTGAAAGACCACTTGTCTAAAGCCCAAAGATATGTGATTTTTATATTGCATAACAATACAAAGCAGGGAAACCTTCACAATTAAGAAGCTGGAACCAGATATTCTTTCACGTTTTTGCTTGAAAATTGAGTGTAAAGAACCGCATAAGCTTGCTTAGAAAACACACTAATTTGAATGTTGTTCCTTCATCCTCGCAGATCTCAGCCGAGACCCCGCGGTGCCGAGTACGCATGGAGGCTGATCGGTGGAGGCTGTCTGTCTTTCTCTGAGGTCTCAGATCGTCATCCCAAACCAGCATCATCGCCTGCAGCCCCGAAGGAGTGCCCTGACTTCACAACAGTGCATAGGCCTTCTGTTCAAGGAGCCTGGAGCTGCAGCAAGCGAGAGCGAGACAAAGAGGGGGAAAGAAAATAAACACGGGTTGAAAAAAAAAAAAGAGACTCTTCATGAATTCCCCAAAAACCTGAAAGGCAAATACTGCAAAGTTGGCTGGCTGTCCTGAGGAAGAGGCATGTGGACAAAGAGCATGGCTTGGCTCTGTCTCCCAGCCTACATCGTCCTTCTTGTTGGTTGCTTTCACACGGCGGTCACGGAAAATGATGTCACCCCACGCCTCACCTTCTCCTACAGTAAGTTACACACCTTCTCGACCATGACATTGGTGTAGTATGGAGCGTTTGGTCCCAAGCTCTCCTGGTATCACCTGTGTACATCACTTGCAGACTCGACAGGGCGTTATTTTGCTGTGAGGAAGCTTTGGAGGTGCTTCAGGCTCTAATCGTGGCTTTGGCGGTGACTTTTGCACAAATAGCAGCACGTCATCAGTAAACAGCCAAACACGGTGGCATAGTTGTTTTTTTTCCTCTCTAGCTGCTGCTCAGAGGTAAAACTCTGCACAGTCTGGGAGCCTGTAGCATGAATGGTGAACTATTTATTATCTGGTGGTTCATGAGTACGCCTACATTTTGTGCTCTCGCAGAACTGATTATGCAATTCCCTGTGGTGTCCCTGTTCATTAACTCTGTCCACTGAAAATAATCAATACACTTCATATGTGTCCATTGTTGGAGCTAAAAGGATTTAAATGAGTGAAATGCTGTTTGTGCATCGTAATGATTTAAATTCCATGTAAATCCACGCCGTGAATGGCAGCTCCATCAGGGCGGCTCCGTCGAGTACCTGCAGGTCAGACCCAATTATAAAATGAACAGGCCTATTGTGTTGCGACTTACTCGGGGCACTCGGACATCTTCTCGCAAGCACCGAGAGTTATTGCTCTTATATAATCTCTATTTCTCTTATGTCTGCTTGCTTTGCGAATATGCCAGCCGTAAAATATGTTGGGGATACAGCTAAATTAGCTCCTTTCTGCGCGACATGCATTTGCTACGCCGTCTTCGTAGATAGCACGATGGCCACCAGCACCAGTGATTTTTATCAACATTGATCTAATTATTCAAAAGATGTACCAGTGCACTACTTGAGATGACAAGTTGGATTTAGTTGTGCTTTAGTGTCTCCATGGAAAATTAAACAAAATGATAGATTATGGGATCAGCGGAGGCTTTCAGTGATTCAACTGCAGTTAGTGATTCATGTTCAGGCATCATTAGAGTCATGTCAGGCAAGATCGTGTTGATAGATCTTACTTAGGAACCTATTATAGACGTGTATTCAATTTCCAGTACGGTGCTCGTTTTGAGCCAAGGAAGTGTTCGAATAGGCGAGCCGCGCCGCCTGTCTGAGCTTGTACCGTCCCACGTGATGGACCTCTGTACCAATAGGTAATCTCTGTCACCTCCCAGGCTCAGCTAAGCCCACAGCTCGGCTCTGACGGAGCGTTTCACAACAACACACACCATCAATCACTCACTGAAAAGACGCTTCACACTTTTGCCTCTTCTGATAGGGAGATTTGCTTTTCGAGTGCGCAGCCCGTGTTTAACAACGTCATAAAACATGCAAAGCCCACATGAAAGAACTCTCCTGTCTACATGCCATTCATTCACTATAGCTTGTCTTTTCTATCCTGAATCTATTTCACTTCTATTATTGGAGCTAACCAGAGCTATCCCAGTCATCAGCCCGTTTCATTATACCATTTACGTAGCTGTAACTTTAACCACGTTGATAAGCTCTGACCTTTGTGTGAAGGGTCATGCAGGAAATAACAGCCCTAACAACAGAGGTAGTTACGATCCGCTATAAAACTTAACAAGGAGTCATTTTATCAGCTCCTTCTGACATATCTCAACATGGCTGAGAGCATACACTCACTTGAAATTTACCAGCAGGCTTACGCAGCAGGTCTGACAAAGAATATCTAAAAAGACTGACGTTGTTGGTGTTCCAAAGACCGGCTTTTAGGTTTTAGATTGTGAGGCAACGAACAACTTTCAGCCAGCTGATGAAGGTTAATGGGGCCTGGTGGAAGGAGTTGTCTTGCTGTGCTGTCGGTTCTGCTACAGTGACATTTTCCAGCCTCCTGCAGAAAGGCTTTGTCACATTGTGTTTACAGTATCAAAGCAGAATGCAGAGCAGCAGGCCTCAGGGACCTGAACTTTATGCAGCAGAAACTGCCTGGTCTCATCATAGTCTCTGGTCGTCTCTGTCCTATCAGGATGCCTTTTAGCTCGACGTCTTGCATGCCTAAACCTCGGCAGTGTAGGCGGGCCGGAGCCCTGCAAGGCTGATCCTCATCCTGCAACATTGTCGTAGACCGACTTCCCCTCCTCTTCCCTCTTGCTCTCTCTCTGTCCCATGGTCCCCGCCTCTGCCCTAATGAAGAGGGTAATCTGCCATGAATAATGAATGGGGATTTGTATGTGTTATGGTGTGAACACTTGTCTGGTTCTCATTATGCGCCTATCAGGACGGATCATGGGTTCAGGGAGTAAAGCCTGCATCTGCTTTTCTCTCCGCTTTTGTTCCAGGCTTTAATGCGGACCATGTTGAATGGCTTAGTGTGTTGGAACACTATTTAAAGGCACACCTATAAGCCGTTTAAGTTGCCTTTCTTTTCCCGCTGATCTGCTCAGCCCTCTGTTACACATCATGCAACATTTGTGCTTTAGTTTTGTGTAGGGGCCGTGCCCAGCAGCCACACTGGGAGTGAAGTGTTTTTAATTATTTAAAAGCTGTCGTGTCTAGACCAGTTGAATCAGCCACTCTCAAGTAATTCAAAATGACACTGGTGTCAAGTGAGATAACAGCTTTTCAATACTGGTGCCACATAGCTGAACAGCAGTTCCTCATGGTATGAATGCTTAAACGCACTCCACTGTATCACCTGCTAAAGACTTGATAACATCCAGGAGAGTCCAACAGAATGGAAAGTCATCGTGACTAAGTATTACTTTCTTTTATGACTCAATTCAGTGATTATTGCTTTGGTTAACATAATGACCATGCAGTCTCACAGCTATGGCAAAAACAGTAATCAGCGTCTATCAACATTTACACTGTATTAAATTAGCCGATGACTGCACGGTTAATTAATCATTGAAATAAAAAAAAACAAATGCCAGAAATTGTCAGTTTTTATTTTTAAAATGTTTTGTTTTATTGTTTTTGATGATAAATGAGGTATGCATGTTTGGGGACCCCCTCCAGTGAAAATCAAGTCTTTTTTAAGCTTGTTAATAAATCCCTGTGGGTTTGTTTTGCTAAACTCGAAGACACATCATGAGCAAAATAAGCAGTCAGCGCCATGGCTGATCATTTCCAACTCGACACTGCAGTAAACTGATGACAGTCTCAAAAACACAGATTCAGACTTCCAAGGTTTCATATGTCACAAACCTAAAGAACCAATCCTGTCAGCTTGCAGAGCGGAAGAGGTCTTCAACATGTATGCCTGAATTACTGCAATAATCCAACTTTTGAACAGAGTTGCAGGTGAGCTGGTGTGCTCCAACTGCAGAGACTGGGGAGGGTTGAGTGGAAACAGATGAGAAGGTAAGGATGCGGAGTTGCATCTAAGCCATATTAAGGCAGGAAGGGAACATTTTGATGGGGGAAAAAATCTAAATATGTAGCTTTGAAACACATAAATGAGTTTGTAGGAGTTAAATCAATGACCAAAAAAGTGACTTTAAATTGTGGATTGCATATAGAAAGCATTATAAAGGCCTTATCTAGGGCTCTGGTCATTTTCAGTATTTTCTAAGCCTCATTTATTAAAGAAAATAATTGTCAGACTGCTTTTTAATTAAAATAATCAACAGTTGTGGGCCTAAAATGTTGCTTGCACATAAAACCAAAACAACCAAATGACAAGAAATCGAAGCAGAAAAGGCTTCAAAGTGTTAACAGCTGCTCTGCATGTCCATTTTCAAGGTGTTGTGAGGACACAGCGGCTGTAATTACACAGTATGGAGTCAAGGCCTGTCAGGTCAAAGTGCTGCTGTACGGTTAGAAACATGTCAAGACCTTGTGTGCAGTCCCTTTGTTCTCGATGCTCCGGCACTGTTCACACCAGAGGAAGAGGTCATGGCGAGTTCCTGATGAACCAGCAGCTGGTTTACATTATTGTGGTTAATCCGGGGGTCAGCGTTTGGAGCTCCTTCACCAGCCTTATCAACATTTTTTTTTTCAAGGTTCCTGTGCTCTTTTACAAACGACAGATTTAATAGATACAGAGCAAAGTGTTGTGTTTAAATGCTAGCGGTTTAATTAGCTATACTGTCCCACAATAAATTGCACCACCAAACCCTGTTATTGCTCATCCCCGCTGCGTGGATGCGTAATGCACATATTTTATCTCGACACTTTCCTCAGCGTTTACAGTATTTTGCAGCGTTCACAATATGACTCTCCAGACTCGCTTTTCCTTAAGTTGTGCTCGAAAATTACCACCTATCTCAGCATCAGGATGGCGCGGTGGAGACAATATCCTGCTAACAAGATGCAGCCCCACAATTTACCAATACAAACAGCAGGCTCACAGCTTGCCTAATGAATCTCCCGCTGAATTGACCCTCTTGGCCTGTTGTCTTAATGCCTTCCAGATGCTTCAGTCTCTGTCCTTCAGCTTCCCAGGTCTGCTCTCCCACACAGTTACCCGTTCAGCGAGCAGCTTTTAATAGCTAGTTTGAAATTACTCGGGATAATTTAGTTAGCGCTCCAGTGAGGGCTGTTTTCTATCTTGATGTCACCAGACAATGCGACAGTAGTGGGAGTTCTGGCATTGCTCTGACACTGACCCAGTGGGACTCCTGTTGGCACCGCGGCTTCCTGTCGCAGCGGTCATTGCTTCGCTCTCAACAGAGGGTTTTAATCACTTCTTCTAAAAGCAATTGGATTTACAAGGGTTCATCTGTTCTATCCCGAGCAAAGTCCTTGAACAAGTACAGTAGGCAGATGAAGACAAAGGGAAGAGATTTGTCCCTGCAGTCTCTTCGCTCTGCCTGAGGAGCTTCTTCCTGACTTCTCACAAATGTCATTTCTGTCTCCTTATTTTCACAAGATTATCCTAATGCTGAGGTGCCCCGCCTCATCTTCTCGTCCTCGCTGTCTTTAACAAACAATTAAATAAATTGCTTCACAGTTTCCACCTCTGACACCGGGGATTTATTTTTCCCGTCCTTGCTCTGGTGTTCTCGCTTGACGCCATCTGTCTTTATGATGG